ATCTACCAAAGGAGGTAAATTTCCTTCCACATCATTGCGTTTTTAAGACAGATAATACCAGCACTAAACTTAGAGTCGTATTTGATGGTTCATGCAAAACTACGTCGGGCTTATCGTTAAATGACATTGCATTGACTGGTCCAAAACAGCAAGATTAATAACATATATATTTTAACACGATTCAGAAAATAAAAATATGTTTTTACGGCTGATATAGAGAAAATGTATCGCCAAATATGGGTGGAGGAGGAAGATCAATATCTTCAATTAATTGTTTGGCGATGGGACAATGATAAACCATTAAAAGTGTATAAATTAAAAACGGTTACTTATGGTACTGCGTCTGCTCTATATTTAGCAGTGAAATGTTTGCAGAAAGTTGGGGAAATGTATAAAGATCAGTATTCAAAAGCAAGTGAAATAATTAAAAACGATTTTTATATAGATGATTTATTGACAGATGGAAATAAAATGTCTGAGTTATTGGAAAATCAGAAAACTTTAATAAAAATATTAAATATGCACGGCTTTTCATTAAGGAAATGGTCTGCAAATCACCCTGAACTGTTAAAGTACATAAAAGAAAACGATCGTGAAATAGAAATTAATTTCGACAGAGAAGACTCTGTTTCAACTTTGGGGCTTGCATGGGTACCGAAATCGGACGAATTTTTCATAAAATCAGTTTGGGAACCTTACAAAAATGAAATTATTAATAATAAATCTATACTTTCAGATATAGCCAAGTTATTTGACCCTCTAGGTTTGTTGAATCCAGTTATTGTCACGGCCAAAATCATGCTACAAAGTCTCTGGAGGATAAAACTCAACTGGAATAAGAAAAGTACCGAAGCAAACAAAAATGGAGTGGATAAAATTTAGAGATCAACTGCCAAACTTAAGAAAAATTAAGGTAAAAAGGCACATCTTAATTGATAATGCTAAAGTAATAGAACTTCATGGATTTTGTGACGCATCTGAAAAAGCATATGGTGCGATAGTATATTTAAAATCAATTAGTACAGAAAATCAGTTTAAAATAAATTTAGTTAGTGCAAAATCTAGGGTGGCACCAATTAAAATAATTTCTATTCCGCGTCTAGAACTTTGTGCAGCAGTTTTGTTAGTGGAGTTAATGGAAAAAGTCATTGAAAGTCTACAAGAGCAAGTGAATCTTATAAGGTTCTATAGCGATTCAGAAATAGTATTAGCATGGCTTAAATTTTTTATTTTTTTTCCTTTATTAACAACATAAACAATTAAAATATATACATAAATTTTCTCAAAAAATATAATATTTTGTGCGAGAAGATAGCGAATATATTTTTGGATTTTACTGCAATCAGTTGTGATAAGAGGAATTTTTACTAACTAAAGATAGGTACGTGTTGAGTAATAAATTGCGGTACATTCATATTTGAGTATAATTGTGGTGGTCATCACATTTTGTGTTGACTTACAATCTTAATTCAAAATTTGATAAAAGTAAGTCTATTACATTTCTTTTAAATAGTAGCATATTGTTTATATTTCTTATTTCTACAGGTAATTTATTGAATAATCGTATTCCGTAGCTTCTAATAGATCTTGCGCATCTTTCTGTTCGGAAAAAGTGTGTTCTGACATTTTGGGAATTCCTTAGATTACATTCAGTGCTTTCTGTCTCAACGAAATTTAAATTATGTTTTATTAAGTTATTTTTTAACTTATATGTGGCCAGTAGAGTTTGAAGGATTGAGTACTTTCGTATATCAAGCCTATTTACATATAGATTGTGTGTGTTGGTTCTGCGTGGCAGTTAAAGGATGTTTTTTATTACTTTGTTTTGAAGCCTTTGTAATTCACTTAATTTTTGATCTGAGCACCTGTTCCAAATAGGATTTAAATAATTGATTTGAGATAAAAAGACGGAGTTGTATAGAAGCCACAATTGCTTTTTTGGAATGTTATTTCGGTTTCGATAGATGAAAAAGTTAAAAGGTAGTACTTTTATTTTTATTTTCTGGATCTGTTCGTTCCAATTCAAATTCTCGTCGAACCATATACCGAGATATTTTAATTTCTCTACCCTGGAAATATAAGTGCCATTGAATAGTATTCCGGGAAGTTCACTTCTATCAGAAATCTTTCTAAAATTATTGAAAATGTTAAAATTGGTTTTTGATAAATTAATTTGCAGAAGATTTCTAGTGAACCACTTGGAAATTTCTTGCAAATCGGTTTTTATGTTATTAATTAATTCTTCTAGTGTATCTGTTGCATATAAGAACGTGCCATCGTCTGCATAGAACTGTGGAACTCCGTGCACTCTAAGTTTCAAATCGTTATTTATGTAAATTACAAATAACGTTACAGCTAGTTTGGAACCTTGTGGCACTCCTACTTTAAGTGTTTTCACTGAACTTTTGATGTCTCCTATTTGAACAATTTGTTTCCTGTCTAACAAAAAGCTTCGGAAAAAGTTTATGGCAGTTTTATCAAATCTCAGTTCATGGAGCTTTCGTAACATTATATCCAAATTAACGGAGTCAAAAGCCTTTGTTCGAAGTCCGAGAAAATGCGACCCTGCTCGGTTAGTTTTACCATCCCTGGCTTCATCTGATGTAAGAAACATATGCTTTGCAGCTAACCTAGCTATGTATACATATTGTTTACTTTGTACTAGCAAGAATTCTTTCAATAAATCTAAATCAGATATAGTCTTCGGCTTAGTGTTTATTTTTTGAAAACCGACAAACTTTTTATATTTTGGCAACCCTTGCGGGGAATCCACGGCTTTGGATACTCCGCTGCAAAAGTTATTGGCAGCGTTTGCGCATAAAAAACGAGTTTCGGAATCTGCTCCGCACGCACGTGTGGTGGGACTCCTACAACATAACCTCACTTTAACATCGTGCTGCTGAAATTAATTTGCAGCAGCGTTCGCAGAAATATTGCCGTACAACGCACTACGGTGGTATTAGACATGGATAGGAAGGTTAAGCAGCTGCAGTCAAGCAAGACGGCAATTTCAAATTTCGCAATAAATACCCGCAACACCGCAAAAGCAAAGCAAACAAAGGGCTTTTTGCAAGCGAGAAAGTAGCTTCTGCGGCAATATTGGGCAAAATTCGTGTGTCTTCATGACCAGGTTGTTAGTGAGTGCACTCCTGAAGAAATGGAGGCAGCTGGCATTGCGACATCTATTGACTTCGAGACAGTGGAGTGCGTCTATGCCGAGACCATGGGCGAACTACACGATCTATTGGACAGCACGAATTCGGTCACTGATACATCGATGTCGCAGTCCTTCTTTCCCAACACAGGCGGTAAATCAATCACTACCACGCATTCGAATTCCACCATTCGATGGTAACTTCCTACACTGGTTCCCGTTTAAAGATTTGTTCATCTCCATTGTTACGTCTAACGCATCCCTCACAAACACACAGCGCTTGCAATACTTAAAGGATAGCCTTACTGGAGAGGCAAAAAATGCGCTTGATAAGTTCACTACGACAGATGCTAACTTCCAGGTTGCGTGGGAGCTACTTCAATCCAAGTACGAGAACAAACGGATAATAATCAATGCTCATGTAGCAGCGATTAGCAAACTTCCTTGTGCTCCGAAAGAATCTGCCTCTGCGCTGAGGTCATTACTTGATGGCGTGACGTCGTCTATACGTGCGCTGCAGCATTTGGGCCGGCCAATCGAGCATTGAGATGATTGGCTGGTGTTCACTATTACTCACAAGTTGGATGCCACCACTCGCAAAGCATGGGAGCGCTCCCTAAAGTCGAACGACGATATTCCAACTTTTAAGGAGCTGCAGGAGTCTCTTACCAGTAGAACACAATCCTTGGAAATAGTCCAAAGCTACACCG